CCTCTCTGTATCTCCCTTCCTCTTCAACTTTTCCTGTCACACATCCTCCTGAAAACTCTGGAGATTTCCTGGATGTTAGCCCAAAGCATTGTAAGGCATCTTTCTTCATCCAGCACCAACAGGTTCTTTTCTTCTTCCTTGCTACAAACAAGCATCAACATCATCTCATCTATAGAAAATCAGACATCTTGCATGATCTTGAGCAAGGCACTCCTAGGTGTCTGACAGAGCTGAGTCTAGATTTCATGAGTAAATTCAGTGCTCAGGCACTAGATTAACAGCTTAGACCCAAGTGGAAGAACACAGATGACGGAATAAGGCTTGCCTGCTTAGCACTGCTTCTCCACAAAGCTTTTCCAACACCTTTCCCTCTGCTAGAGAAGGAGGCAGGGATGTTTTCCAGTGACTCATGAAATATGGTTATCTTATCCACATATGAGAAGCACTTTGCTCGTGGGGGGTGTCTTATGGGGCTCCGTCTGTCATGTCAGACAACATTATTTTAAAACACAGACATGCTATCTGAGTCCAGTTTGACTGGAGCTTCTCTTACACTGCAGAAGAGGGGAAAATAACACACAAATATGCTTCCTCTCCAGTCTCAAAGTTACAGGGAATAATAACAAAGATGACTGCTAGGATCTCAATAAATGGAAGAATTAAGTCTGGCAAATGTAACAGCAGAAAGCTGTACTATGGCTGGTGGTTACAGGGTATCATCTCTTGTGTGCAAAGTCATCACCTCCACTACCCAGCTACCGTGTTAGTATCTCAGCACGTTCGTTCAGTGACTACGCTACTTGTAAGGAACTCCTCCGCTGGTACCCAAGAAAAGCTCTGAACCAGACCAGCTAGTAGGAGTCAGAAGGCACAGAAATGTAAGCAGAATGAGAGTTTAAGTAACCCAGTGATATTTTATCGAGAATGAACTAACGACTCCTGAAGAGATTTTCTGCTTTAGTCAACGGTACTCATGACATTTCTTACTGCTCCAAATTCAAGCAATCACATGAACATATGAAGCATATATAAGGATGCTACTGCCCTCTCACTGCACCTCACAAAGGCTACATTGCCAGCAAACCCATGTATATGCTGCCCTATGGTACCCCTTAAGGACAGTAGAGGCTGTCTACTAGATAGTAGAGGTTTGATAAGTAGCCAGATAATTTCTGGCAAGTGTATAGCTTCCTCAGTTTATTATAAACACAGAAATGATTTGGAAACAGATTAAGTTTAAAGTAAAATTAGAATCCCAGGCAATTTAATCCCACTAGCAATACTACAAACTCAGACTATTAAACTGAAAAGCCCTTCTTGAGCACCAGCAAATACATTAAGGAAAGAGAAGATAACTGGGGAAGAAAAGGTATAAAACTGGGAAATACATGATTAGAAGAAGAGACAAATCAGTAAATTATCTAAAAAAATATTAATGTTTACACAGCTCCTTTGATTATATATACAAAGAGTACTTGTCTTGGCTAGTAAGACGAGGCTTAAGTCAAGCAGTTTCAGCCATCATTTTCTATACCACAACATACTTTCCCAACAGAGTTAGACAAAAGCAATGGTATGTTTTTAACTACCCACCAGTAATAGCCAAGGAGATTAAAAAAAAAAGCTTTGGGAGATAGTACAATCCAAATACACACTTCTTTTAGGGTACCTTAACTAATAACCTGACAGCTGCAATACCTACCACTTTTTAAAGACGGGTTGTTTGCCTGCTGATTCTTCCCATCTTTCTCTTTTTTAATATTCTTTGAATCTAAAAGACAAGATTCCGTTACATAATAAATGTAATTTCACATCATAATGATGTCCAGCATAACACAGAATGCTTTCAAACAATACAGAATATCTTGTTCCAAAGACTGACTTTCTTTTATTCATTTCAGTGCATAATCAAAAAGGTATTTGTACTAGAAGTTTAATCACTACACTATTCTTCTTTCAAAATATGTTGAGAAGTACAGCATGAGAAAGCAGAGCTTTTTTGACTACTTTATATTACATTATCGGAATAAATCTAGTTGCAGAAAACGTAGTATTAGCTCCACAAAGAGCAACTTTGCCCTAATTTTTAACTGCTTTACTCAACCTAAACGCAATTTGAGATCTTCAAGATCACTGGATGTCTTTTTAAATCTTGTCTAGATCACTATGAGCTGAGAAACAAGAAAAAGAACCAATGCCCTAAGAGCATATTTCCAAGTTAAACATTCCGTTCTATATCCATATTCTTGAATACTCAAATGCAAGCAGCTATCTCGGTGCATATTTCAGTTATTAAAAAAAAAAATCCTTCATTAGAATCTACCTTCTCTACCATTCATCTCCACACAAATACAGAAAGGAGTTTGTCATATTTCATTTTTGCCAGATTTCAGTGCATGAGAGACACAGAGGGGAACTGAGAGGCTAGAAGAGAGAAGACAGAGGGAGCCAGTTCCACCTGCTCCTTTTAGCCTTTAAAATATGTTTGTTTGGTGACTTGCTTTTGACACTAGTGAACTGAAATTCAAGCACGATTCAAATATGACACTGAGCTGGTAAATGAAATGCAAGTACATTTTCAGATCTAAAAGTGTTATCAAACTCTGCATGGCTGAGTAACTTGGTTGGTTTGCAAACGCCTCAGCACCAGGAATGGGACCACTCCCCCAGCAAGGTGCCTCAGCTCATGCCTTTGGCCATCCTAGTTAGCCTGAACAGGTGAAGGGATGGGTCACCTGTACCAAACAATCGTATCGGTAGCTGATTACTGTATCTGCCTGCACTTAAGTCTTTAGCTATTGACTGGCTTGCATTTGAAATAAAAACACTCCTAATGTAGAATAAGAGGCATTTGGTGATCAGAAACACTTGAGATACAATGAGTTTTTCTGCAAAGATTAAGCCCTAACAGCGTTTCTCTTCTGTTTTCTGTAAGTAAGGCTTTTCCTGAAACAGAGAGTACCGACAAGCAATGTGTGATGTTCGCCATTTCCATCCCACTTTTCATTATTTATTGAGGAACTGCCATGTGCAGGAAGAGCTGAATCATGACAGTCTGCTGTCATCAATCCCCAAATCCCCCATCGGTCGGTGAGGAGGGAAAAGCCATCCACCTGGCTCTGCGCGGGGTAGGGCATAGCACAGGCCAGTGACCCCTCAGAGGCAGCCATGAGCAGGGCCTCACCAGTCAGGGCCATCCCGCTGCCCCTGCCAGGAGCAACCAGGGAGGCACTGGGAGCAGCCCCAGACCCGGGCACCCCCCTGGGGCTGGGGCCCAACAGGACACAGGCCCATGGGTGGGCCCAGGGAGACCGGCCCTGCTGCGGCATCGCTGGGGCAGGCACTATGGCCTTGGGGGGCTGACATGGGGTCCTGGGCCCTGGGCAGGGTAGGGAGAGGCCCTAGGTGAGGTTGAGCATGGACATTAAAGCCTACTAGTACACTCGGGAACAAGACACCTTCCAAGAATAACCCAGACTCCACAGTCCCAGAAAACATACTTACAGCTACATACCTGCTCAAAACATGCTGCAAAAGTAACACCTGTTTCTCCTAAAGCAGATATGGGGAGTACCCAAGATCCTTTGAAAAGGAAAGAAAATGTTTACTCTTGTACTTAGTCTTCTTTCTTGACTTACGCACTCATTCTTTCGGAAAAAGTTTCCTTCGAAACATTTTCTACATCTCTGAAAGCACTTGACAGGCTCCCAAGGAAAAATCCTTATGGAGGTCAGCTTCAGAGGGGCATGCTGAATTGCTTCTAGATGGTGCCCACAGAGCTCTCACCCCGGTAATTCCTCAGGAGTAGGGCTTTAACCCACACAAGTGGACACCCTACATCCTGACAACAACTACCAGTGGGAACCTGAGAAGGGACAGCAGTAAAACTAGTTCAGTAACAGTGACAAGGGTAACATTCACCTTCTACCTACCTACAGATCAAAGTATATTCCATCCAGCCTCTTTGGGACTGAACAGAATCCAGCTAGTTTTCTATGGGGCAGTGGCAATCACTAGCAGAGCCTTTTTGTCATGTTCTACAAGCTCAGTTAGTCAGGCTTTACCAAAAACAGTCATGGGATGGTCACAGCCATCAGGCTGACAGCTTACAGAGTAGGTAACTTCCCAGTCTGCTTATTTCTGAAGAGGAAATCCAGTGGAGTCCCACATAAAGGGACTTACTGAAGAAGAAAACTAACAACTCCTTCCTACAAACACCCAAAGCTTAAAAGGACAAAGTCATGAAAGAGTAGCTACCCAACAGCCCCATATTTCAAACAAGATGACAGCCTTTCATGATAAGAGACATCAAGAACAGGTGAAAGAATGTGAAAAACCGCCGCAGCCTGGACACCAGATGAGTTCTCGCTGACAACCACCACTCGAATTATTTATTCCCTGCACCAGTTATGTTTAGTGCCTATCTCACAACTGTCACAGCAAATACAAACGCTGAAATGGAGCACTCTGGGCAACACATTTTTCTTATTGTCAGTCATGAGACAACTATGAGAACAAGAAGAGATGAAGACATTCATGAGAAGAAATGCATTCCTTGATAGCACTTTAAATACCTAATTCATTTGAGGTGGAGGCATCTCCATTCATAATAAACCCAAAGTACCGTCACTACCACTTGTTTTTGATGGCAAGAAATCTATTCTTTAAAACGCCCAAGTAAAAATCACCCAGGACATGCAGAAGCATCCAAAAAATAAGTCTGAATAAAACAAAGATTGTTTTCAGAGGTTCCCCTTGCTTTCATGCATTCCAGCTCTCAGTGTTTGGAAGACCACTAAAAAGCTGGAGTGTTTTGTCTAGGCAGATGAAAAGCTGCTAGCAATATGAATTACTATCCTGTTTTCACATGAGATACCCTGTATCTACTACCACCTCAGAAGAGTTTTCCCCCAGTCCATACTTCACAGTTGCTGTGATGCCTTGGTCTGGTGTGCCTCTTCCAGTGTCAGTAGTTAAGGTGGATAAGAATTTATAGTTTATTTTTAAAAGCAGCATTAAAGAAAATAAGATTAAAATCCAATTTTTATAAACATGAAATACATGTGTGAGATTTTAGGTTGGTTTTTTTTTTTTTTCTAAGATGCATCAATCTACATTTGAGATTTTCATATCCTAAATTCTAGTAATTTTAGTTTCCAATGATCAGTGAAAACCAAATTAAGACATGGAAGACTATTATGTCGAATCACTGGGCTGAGGATGACTCCCTCAGCACATGACCCTCGGTTTCATCAAACTTCAAGGACAAACCTCAAAAGTGAGGTTATAAAGGAAGGAAATACTTCAGCAGGCACAAAGAGTATTTTCTTTTCATCTCCTTCACCTAGCCACATTCAGGGACTAATTCCCTCAAAGCTGAAAAGTGAACTTGAAAACAGGAACATTATTTTTATGTTAGAGAAATAAGAGACTTCTTTGTTCTAGAGTAATGAAGCTCACGGTGACAAAAAAAACCCAAGCCAGTTGAGTTCATTATCTGCATTCCTCTCTTCATAAAGTCCATTTTTAAAGACACAAGTTTGAGTTTACTTTCCATTGTAAAACACAATATTCACATTTTGTGAAAACGTGAATGAAAATTAAATGCTGGTACTGTGGACTTAATTACATGCCACTCAGCTCTTTTTTAAAAAAAACAAAGACTAGGATATCACTTTCAAAGAAAGTGTTAAAAAGATAGTAATACATATAAGTATATAGAGATCTTACATATTCACTATGTAAATATATATACACATTTAGCCTGTAACACATATAGGTTAAATACTTATTTTCAAAACTCTGTGGAAGATTGTTTTCTTCTAGATAGCAAGATTAGAATACAGCATATACTAAAATTACAAAAGCAGCATATTCTATTGTTCACCAACCAACAGTTTTTCTATAGCATACTCATAAACTATAAAGCAAAACCAAGATTAGAGCAGATTATTTAACATAGTGCTTTCTGCTTACCAATTCAAAACTCCGTGTGTTTACATTACTCCCACCCTACCTGTAACCACAGGATTCTTCTGCTGATAAGATTATTCAACAGAAGAAAGGCAAGAGCAACCACATCTATCATGCAAGAAATTAGAGCCAAGGAAGAAACCAGGCAAAGCTATCTTGGCTGGCTTGTGAATGTGACCAAAAAAAAAAAAAAGGAAAAAAAAAGAAAAAAATTACAATCGGAGAAGGCACCTTTGGAATATAAAGTCTGGTAAAGATAATCCTGGTGACCAATGTACAGTTCCTCTTACAAACTCCCAAGCTGAACTCCAGCTTCTTTTTTGAGATGCCTTAAAAATCCACAACACCTCTTTCTGGGAAAAGTTAACCTTTTGACAAACAAGATGGTTGCTTTGTCTGCATGCTGGGCAAGCATCACCTCTGTCAGGAGTATTAGTTTTTACCAGAGTTTTACCATGTGCTACATAAGGAGGCACACATATCATCTTATAAGACTTGCTATTTGCTTGCTGTCCAATGTGGGAAAAAGCAATTTGCAGTCATGCTTTTTAGATTTCTGCAGCTATTTCTTAGACACCTTAAAGTCTTCAAACTGTCAGAAGTTCAAAACATGGCAGGAGACCACACGTCTTCCTGATGGACGTGAAACACCTTTGGGTGACAAAAGCATTTGCTCTTCCCATACCACTCACCTTCAGATGAAGTTTACTAAGACAAGCCCAAGACTTACCCTTGCTCAGGAAGGGGCCACCTTCACTCCCTACCACACAGTGTTGTGAGCACCTTTTAGCTACCCTTCACCAAGCCTCAGAGCACATAGTTGGGGATATCAAGACAGAGTGAGTATGAAATGTCTCCTTTCCCCTCTTTTCATGCTTCCCTAGTGGAATTCTTATTTTATCTGCCCAGAAAAAGGTGTCTCTTTTTGTATATTTAGACAACAACCATGCAGAAAACCTACAACAGAAGGGGACAGACTTCCTCCATAAACTCTTGGTGCAACAATTAAACGGATGACTCCTGCCATTACAGAAAATCTACTACAGCAAAAGACAATTATTTACCAAGGGAGCACACAAGCACATAAAGCAGCTTGGGCTGAAGGTAGAAAGCTCAAGAGAAGTACAAAAGTGTTAGCAGCATTTTATGGGGGAAGACTACCCATCTGAAAGCTCTGAAAAGCAGCAGCAACCTGGTTTCAGACAGTGGGTTTTTCTCTCTTTACATTCTCTTTGTTTCATCAACCCAAACACCCTTGTTACTTTTTAAGTCTCACTCTTTTATTTTAGCACTTAACTGACAATTAACGTCTGCAGATGTGACACAGCAGAAATTACACTTTCGTAGTACACTGTGCATTTGTAGATGAATTTCTTAAAAGAAATGTTCATTTTATCTTCAAGAGCTTGCAGAAGACAGCTGCTAATGCCATTTGTTGTGGTAGAATCTGATTCCTTGCACTACTTAGTCATCCTCCTGCTAAATTATATGCAGTTACAGAATAAAGCACTGTATTTTATTTAATATCACACCTATACACGTTCTTCAATTTTAGAGCAGTATAATGGCTTCAAGGCTGTCACAGGACAAAATTGCTTTCATTGAACTTGTACAGAACTCCAGAATAAGCTGAATTTAGCATATGTACTCTAAAACAATGCCAAGTTTGAACTTACCTGTGTTCAACACATATCGTAACCTCTCCTCTTTAATCTAACAGTATAGTAATTGTCAAGTAATAACCCACCACCTTCAAAAAGAGAATTTAACAGGTTCCCTATTTTCCTTCCTCTTGGATAAAAGCTACCAGGCCTTACCTTTAGCCGCTGTTCTCCCCATGGTAACACTTCTGTGATCTTCCCTCTCACAATAAAAAGGCTGAAGTTGAAAGCCCAGTTAATTCTTCCTTTCAGCACAACAGTTTCCTGTGGAGTAGTAATACAACAAGTTAGGGGGGAGGCTGTTGTTGGGGTTTAGGTTTTTTCCTTTTTTTTTTGGAAAGGAGGATTTTTTTTTTGTACTGGTGTACAATTATCTTGCTCATTTAAAGTTGCAAACATTTAACAAGCTATTTGTAGAAGAACAGCATGTAAACAATAGCTGTATCAAAGTAGCAAGGGCACAGAAGAACCCAAACTTTTATTCCATTGTTTTAGACAGTTCATTGGGTAATGATTTGCATTTTCTGTGGATTTCTAATACAAAGAAAGATATTTTAAAAATGCTTTATTCCCTTTCTCCCCAACAAATGTTACCGAAAAATGGAGGAAACACTTCTATACATAACCTACTTGTCATGCATCACTTGCACAGAGTATAAAAAAAAATCCACAATTTAAACGCCTTTGGGTAAAACACACTATCTTTCACAACTACAGTGGAACAGGGAACAAAACACTGATGTAAGAAATCCACACAAAGGCCCAAGTGCTCACTGATACCCCTGCCCACTGCTGCCTGCACCAGAGCACAGAGAACCTGTTAGCGGAACGCTAACTGCAGATAAAAGCAGTGATCCATATTCTTGTAGGCTTTAGAAACTACAAGGGCCAAATTAGTTAAACCACTGTAACACAGCAAAACCAAACTTTATTTTGTGCGTGTGTGTTACTGTGATTTTCTATTCCAGCATCTAGTTTTAGGAACTTTGACTGTGTTCAAGTCAAACTCATTTGGAGCTTTTTAGCCTCAAAGCAACAAAGCCAGCAAGTTTATTATCCCTTTCCATTCACTGTTCGAGTAATAATGGTTAAAAATACATTCAAATTTCTGAATTATCTTCTTTGATCATTTCCTTTCAAGAAATTCCCATGAGGTTAAAGTTGACATCATCAAAAGTTTGAGATTTTTTTTTAAATTTAAATACATGCACACTGTTTCCAAGATTAGTTTTGCCAAGTTTTTAGAAGCTATACCTTTCCAGTGTTACCTAAAAGGAATAATAGGCATTTACTTGGAATTTCTTGAATCTTACACTTGCATGCCTAAAAAAAAAAAATAAAAATGACATATGCATATCATGTGTAACAAGAGGGGTGTCATACACCCAAGTGTTTTCCAGAAACTGACATTTCAGTGAAGTTTTGAGGAACTTGCACACTATGGTGATGGATTCCATGATGAAAACTTTATACAGTGCAAGTCCCATGGCTAAAACTAATTAAATATGGTTTTAAAAATGCCAATGACTAAAGAATTCATTTACTGTGTGTGAACATGCTGGACAGTTATTACAAAAAACTCTCAAGACTGAAACTTGAAAGCAGTTATAAATAAAACCGAATACTAACATAAAATAAGCAGGTTTTGCTACACAATAGCATTCATAGCATAAGCGATCATCAGGATTAGGAACAGAAATCCTTTTAAGCCATCAAATAAATTTGAAATACTTGATACCTTCATAGACTCCCCCAAAAATTCAAAGCTTTTCCGCTGCGAGTAATAAATCGTGAAAGGTGATGCAGAGTCAAAGTAACTGTTTTTACAGATTACTTTAAAACAGTGCATGGTTTTTATCTTTTTGTTCCAAGTACCAGATTGCACTTGGTGCAGTAATAAAGATTCCAACCCCGCAGTGATAGTCATCAAGTTTAGCACAAGCAGAGCGTCTGTCAGAACATAAAAAGGATTCCAGCTTTTCATTAGCTTGTGTTGTACCAGATAGGCTATTTTACAGCATGCCCACCAGCCTGTTAAAAATATAAGACAACCGAAAGTTCTGAAAGCGCTGTCTGAAATGGGGCAAACACAACTGCAGGAATACAATGCACTACTATTTCGAAGAGGTGCTTCTTAAAACCCATTTACACTTTACAGTATTCGGTTTAAGAGCCACTATTAAATTAACTTGTAGGTAGTGCTGTTTGTCACAGAAAACATTCAAGAATGGTATTTCTGAGCCTCTGTAGCTAACAACCACTCCATGCTGCTGAATTATAGCAAAATGAAAACCAGTTACCTCCAAAACAGAGCGGGGTCAGCCTGGAACAAAGTGTAACTTCTTTTGCAGGGGCAAACCTAGGAACAGCTTTCCATCGCCTCATGTCATTAAGCGGCAAACCGTAAGCGAGGCACTTATGTCCTTTGCTAACCAACACGGAGTCCTCTTACGTTGCACTCACCATCACCAGCCTGGCTCAACCCACAGCACACCCGCCACAGAAGAGAAGAAAACCACCAGCAAATACAGGGGAGAAACCACCGGGGACGCACTGGCAAAATTACGTAGAAAGGACAGAGCTCAAGGTATTCTTGTATGTGCACGTGGGCAAGCAAAGCAAGTCAGCGATACAGACAGCTGGGACTAAGAAGTTAATCTAGCAGCTTCTAGAAGTGAAGGGAAAAACGAAACGAAACACGGTCAGGAATATACGAGCAAACAAAGAAATGAAATGGCAAGGCTGAAGCACAATGCTTTAGGATGCACAAAGCAGCAGAATGAAAACCAAAGCTACAAAACCCAAGCTAAGCATAGCAATTGTCAGTCACAGACAGAAAATGCCCCAAACCCACCGATTTAGAGGATGGAAGTACAGAATTTATATCGTATACCAAGGAGAAACTGTTTGCTGTAAATTAAGGAAGCTTAAAAAAGACAAAAAAAAAATCCATGAACCTAGGATTCATCATCAAAATATCCTCAATTTAAAGAGCTCTAGAGGATCTCATGAACTGTATTCTTTGCATCACTTACATCTCAATTCATCCTGTAAACTAAGTTTTATTCTTTCGCTGATTAGGTTCCCTTACATCAGTTACTTTTTTTAAAAAACAGATGGAAAGCATTCATCTGCCTTTAATTCCTTACTGAAGTGTTTATTGTTAATCCCCAAATCACTTCTACTAGCCACCTCCCACTGTGTGAGCCCTTTGTCAGAAAGCTGTATATTAGTAGACAAGCCTAAGCCTTCGCCCTCTCTGCGTTGCTACTACATAATACCAGGCGTCAGAAAGGAGGATGGAAAACATTTTACCTGTCTAACTTTGCTCTTCTCATTTTGAAAAGCATTACTCAAAGGGCATGTATTGCTGTATTTCAAAGAAACTAGTATTCTACTGAAAATGTCAAAATCATTCTCTGTTTTGCCTGCTACCCATCTCCATTATCCTCCTCACTGTAAACCAGGCACTTAAGTAAGCCAAACGTCCCCAAAAAATCCTGCATGCTTAGGGCTTCCCAGTGCAAGTTTATCTTGACATCATGCCCACTAATAAAAATACACGGCACCAAATTATGGAGATAAATATAATATTTAAAAGCTCAAGCAACCAGTAGATTGTGGGCTTATTGCCCACCAAAAAGATTAAGGGTTTTGTCTCAAGGACTCTGCATCTCAGGCTCAGAGGTAAGACAGAGAAACTGATTTTAGAGCCAGTTAAGTTTTTGACCTTGCCACTGGTATAAACACAGTAACTCAGACCTCATCGCTGATGTCCTCGGGGGAAGAAGGAACAGTCACCAATGGGCAGGCTCTGCTGGATAAGGACTGAGGCTATTATTTTATACAGATACACAGCGCAGAAGAGGAATCCCACAAAACACCCACTTTGAAGCATCGATTAACAACTTCTTAAGTTTACCTTGAAATACAGGCAGACATTTTTCAGGCTCAACCTGAACAAGGAGTTATACTTACCCCTCTCTTTCTTCATTGTTTTTCTTCTACAAATGCTTCCACATCACATTTCCGCACGCCAGGGTAGAAAAGAATTACGCACGGTTTGAACAGCAAAAGCAGTTATAGACAGAGAATAGGCGCAACGTAAGCAAAGAGATATTCCCCCCAACTCTTTTGTATGTGCAAGTCCTACATCTGCTTTCACCACCAGCACTGACATGCTGCTAGATTTAGAAACATAAAAGCCACCAGTTACAACTGCTGGCCAGTGCCACCATGCTCCCATTGCCGTTGCCGCTCCTCGCCTCCTTCTTCCTGTTACGGCCAAAGCTGAAGAGAGCCCTTCAAGAAAAGGACCTGCACAGCCTCCTCCATGGACCAACACACACTGCGGCAGCCACGGTTCCCACTCTGGCTTCCAGGCATGGGTAACGTGTACCTACAGGCACCGGTCGCTTCCCAAAGCAGCGTGACTTTTTCCTCAAAGTGAACTGCATTGCTTCACTGTTATCCTTCATGAATCTGGAATACCTTTATTTAAACCTCATCATCTAGTTGTCTGTTATCTCTAAATAAAACCCCTGCTTCATAGCATTTTCGCAAGGCGTTAAGGGGCTGAAAAGAGGCAAACAAAGAGAGTAAGAAAAAGGAGTATTTCTGTAACATGCAATACTTCAGAATTTCTAATACTTGAAAATTTGCTTTCCACCAAGTTACCCGGTATGTAGACCCACTTAGTATACTTCAAGACACAACAGCATATACTTCCTTACTTCTGTAATAGAGATAATTGGTTTACACCTTTTTGAGCATACTCTAGCATCATTGCAGAAAAGGAAGATCTCAAAGGCCAAAAAAAAAAAAACCCAAAACCTTACACTGGCACAAATGTATCAGAAGATTAGAAAATGTAACACAAGATTTGTAGGTGTAAAATCGATATTATTTAGCATTACACAGATATGATTTCAAAACAAAACCTAAAGATCAGGTCTTCTTTCATTTATGCACACAAATACATCATCAGTTGGTGTTCTGACAAGAAATTTGATCCAAGTTGGAATCTCTTTTAGTTCATATTATTTGTAAAAAAATAAAAAGATTCTTTCAATGAAAGGAAATTAAACCTCCATGTTTTCAAACGGCAGAACTTCTAATGACCTGATATATCTGAACACCTTCTCTTCTAGTTGATAAAAACAGAGCTAGGAGAGATAG